GTCTCGGTGAATTGTGTGTGAAATTCACGAAGTGTTACAGGTTTCAGGAAATAATACGGTACTGTCTTAACGTCTATTTTGAACCATTTTAACATTGTTGAATCTGGACAAAATTCGGCTCATTCTGTAATGGTATAGTATCCAATGCGTTATTTCCCGTGTACGTCAGTCTAAGCGTTATAGCTCCGCACCTTAGAGAGGATCCAATTTCACTGCTGCATCGAGACGCGTGCTTTTCATCACAAGACATCAATGGAAACCGCCATTTCTGCCATCAAGTTTTTTACGGGAAGTCATTTCCATTGACGTAATCTGTTGCCACTACGTCACCCCGCGATCCCAAGTTGAAGTGATTCAAACCACACAAAAATCTTCCACGAACTACACCGTTAGGCCTATAAATAGTAATCCCGAATGATATTTAACACCAGCAAGATCCGAATTGCATTACTTTCCCTGGATGTGCGGTTGCTAACAAATATAAATTCCCAAGAAACGTTATTACTATTAGAACTTTATTCGTTCATGGTGTGTCCAAAAGAGCATGAATTCAGCAAACCATATCTTGCTTGGCAGTATTCCAGCAAACGCATGAATCGCTTTTAGTTTTTGCCTTTTTGAAAAAAATTGTGACAAGTGGCAATTTTCTCAGTTTGTATTCTTTTTATTTCTTCATCACATCGAGTATTCTGTGTACCAAATCAATTTCAGTGAGTTTGTATTTCCACACTGTCTGCGCAGCGCAGATAGACATAGTGTTTGTCCAATCACCCTGGTTCCAATTGAAGAAGTAATAGTCAGTCCAGCTTCACTGCATAAACAGTCTCAAGTTACACTCATGATATCAAAACAAACTACATGTAGGCCTACTCGTAGATTCCATTCAAATATTTTGTACCCGATGAGAGTTCTACTTTTTCTGTTGATTTCTTGAATCCAACTCGCTCGTGGACGTGTTACGACTTCCAAGTGTGACTGCAAACAATTGCCAAAAGACCAGTACATCTTAGCCATAGAAACTGATCGGGAATAGACTCAAACCCTGCTCTAAGGCCAAAAAAAAAAGTCTCCGGTTTCTGGTATGCGCGCGCGTCGCCGTAGCCATGCGCGTCGGCAAAATGAAAAAGTTTTTTTTTCAATGAAAGATGATGTCTCAAAACCGCCAAACTCACTGATTTGACTGGAATCCTGCTGCTGCACAATTTTAACGTGTTTTTAGATTGGGTTATGGTCGAGAATAAGCTTTATGTGGCCTCTCTGGACTCCCATATATTTGCACTAAGTTTAGTCGGGCCCCATTTGCAGTCATCAGCCGACATTTGAAGCAAAAAAATAGGGGAAAAAAAAAAGCCGCGTCGCCGCACCACTTTTTGGGCAAGCTCCATACCAGAAACCGGAGACTTTTTTTTTGGCCTAAAGTGTTCCTCTGTCATCTCGTCGTGCCATCGACCTCTCAACAATTCCTGCAAATAGTGCTTACTATCCTCGATCGCCCTTGGTAACAACAATTGCTACGATTGTCGTCGTGCGCATTAAACGTGATCTCTCTCGTATAGTGGATATTGATTTCAATCGGAGCTAATTCCACGCCGCACTGCGCCAGTAATCGCAAGCAAGTCCTTAGGTGCGAAAACAGTTTAAAATAGGTAGATCTCGTTACGGCCCTTGTGCCAGGTTCGTGTGGGCGTAACTACACTCTGCTCATTCCACATCCCATTACATCTATCCACTACGGGGTGAAAAAAGTCTCTTTTTAAACTGAAGGTGTTAACTGCTCGCCGTAAACAACTGTTGGGCCTGTATTGTAAGGAAAAAAGCTTGTTGGAGTAAGTACTAAGATTTCCAATTCCCCGTATCGCATGCTTCTTTAAGTTAAAAAAAAAGACAAAATTGTTATACAGAAATATAAATTTGTAATGAAGCTCGAAATCTGATGTAAACTTTTTTTTTTTACACGCATTGTAGGAAATACACAGTAATGGTATCATTAAAGATAATTATGTGTGTTGTGAGAAATGATTATCTACTCTATTTGTCACCCATCATATAACACACTTAGACTGTATTAAGGATTGTCCTCGTACAACCTAAATGTTAATATAAATACTCTAAGTGAAAAGGGCAGGAAAGGCCAATTTGCAATGTGGGATGGTTTTATCTAGGTCGTCATGAAAGACACATCCCACGTTTGAAAATTCAAATGTCGGTCGAATTAATCCTTAAAAATTGGATTGTCTTAACCACTTCAATGAACAATATAAGCGAAACGTGGATTTTGTGTGACCTTTCTCTGTGGGTGGGCTAACCACAATATAACACCACTCACACACAACACAAAGTATCAGACTCGATATACATTGACATTTCAAATAATAAACCCGACAAAATATTGACAGTCATCTTTGGAAATTCAAGCTACACATTAAATTCGTCATTCTTGTATTTTTCTACGACAAACATTCAATTAGAGGTAACTCAACCCACATAACTCTGCGTATGACAAACACCGCGCTAAAAAAATGTATTTGTGGTTTGCACTTAATGCACGGACGTCGATGAACCTATTGTAATGAATCTAGAACTTGATACGGGGAGAGAAGAATACGCCGATTTTGTCTGATCATGCTGGAATGTGATGGAGACAGCAGTAGCATGTATACGCACTTCTCAGCATGTTTGCTGCGATAACACTCTTCAACCCGCCATTTACAATAACTCGAGTGCACATGCCGCTACTAAATGCAAACACCCTTTTTATCCGTCAAGAGAACAACATATTTTTGAGGGAATGCCGGAGGATACGACGGGATATCGACAGCGATGAGGGTGCATAAGGAGGTGAATGGCGTGGGGAGGGATGGAATGGGTGGTCAAAATGAGGATGGGAAAAGTAGAGATGGTGAAAGTAGAGATTGTGGTAGAAGGGGGTAAGGTGAGAGTGGTTGTGATATGATAGAAATGGAAATAATGCCACAGACATCAATATTGATATAACGGTCACCATGGTGATGGCAAAGATCATGTGATGGCACTGTCAATACTGAAGATGGCGATGGAACAATGAAAATGTTGACTTTTTTTCTTGTCATAAAAAATTAAAAGGACTATATGCTATGACGTTGGTGCATTATTAGCAGTCAAAATATCGTGGCAATATACGCGTCTGGAATCAAACAAACAAACAAATGCTAAGACTAACAACTCCTAAAGGTCACCTTGTATTCTTATTTCAGTAAACAGTAACTGATCATGCATTAGTGCTGATCAATGATGTCATTTAATTATTTATCGAATGGTAATATATCCAAAACAAATAGTCTCGCGTATTACAAATAACACTGAAGCAACGTGTGTCATTATTATGGCATAAACACACTCATGCACGGAGCGGCAATGTATGGAGCGAAATGCACGGCCCCTTGTCCGTTTCTTCGGGCGAGGTACCATGAGTGCAAACTCGCTCCTCATATTTTGGTCCACACAAGACTGATAAAGACGTCAGTTACTTTGGGCAGAAAAACTTACATCACGAACGAGCGAGCTGTTTATTCGGACGTGAATAACTGGCTTTGACATGAAATGATTGAGTATAATCAAATTAATGAAAATTCACTTCATTCGAAGTATGAGTATTTGTGTCTTGTCCGGACACTTGATACCACTGCGCCTACCGGCAGGAGTATCATATAACCGCTTCGATTGTTGGTTACCTACAACCGATGTTGGATTTTATCGAGAAAGTTGAGGCAAGGGTTTATGTAAATCAGCATTTAAACTAAAGGAGACGTGAAATTTCTTTACAAGCAAGAGTTGGATTAGGCGGTAATAACGCACATTCTGTCTCGCGGGACAACCAACTGACTGTGTGTTATAACCGTCTTATCCAAACTGGTTGAGGAGTTATGGATATAGAGCCTATACGACGAGCTACATTTGATGTTTGTGCTTGTCCCTAAAATGGGTACACATGTGATTCGCTTGTAAAGATAAACTGGACACCAAAAACCAAGACGAAGACAAAAACACACGTTTGGATTATACTAACTTCATCAGTATAGACCATATTTTTGAGCGACATCATTTTCTGGGTACAAGTATTAGAAATATCACGTTATTTGAAGTAATGTAGCAGCTTGACTTAAATCTATAAATTGTTGATTTTCAATTATATCAACATGCACACGTACGTACGGCTGTTACACCCAAAAATACGGCCTATAGCTAAACCAGTGATAGAGCCTACCGTCAAAGCGCCTTGGCGCTATCTGGTATCTATACCACGATAAGGCCAAAAAAGTCTCCGGTTTCTGGTACGGAGCTTGCCCTAAAAGTGGTGCGGCGACGCGGTGTTTTTTTTGTTACCCAACTCTTTTTTTTCCTTCAAATGTCGGCTGATGTTGCAGATGATGCTTCTATCCCCTTAAAACTCTCAAAATATCCTTCAGAGTGCAGCTTAAGGTGACCTCAGTAAGGCCACAAGGCTTGAGAAGTATATTGAGCTAATTAAAAAGCGTTTACAGGTTCCAGATACACGACCATCGCTCCGTCAGTCTGGCTTCCAGACGCACAATCACAAAATTACAACACCGTCTGCAAATGGTGCCCGACTAAATTTAGTGCAAAATATATGGGAGCCCAGAGAGGCCACATAAAGCTTATACTCGATCGTAACCCCATCTAAAAACACGTTAAAATTGTGCAGCAGCAGGATTCCAGTCAAACCAGTGAGTTTGGCGGTTTTGAGACATCATCTTACATTGAAAAAAAAACCTTTTTAATTTTGCCGACGCTGCGCGCATGGCTACGGCGACGCGCGCGCATGCCAGAAACCGGAGACTTTGGGGGGGGGGGGGGCCTAATGAATCACGGCAATGGCAGTACGTGCTTGACGGGCGTGGTTTTTGAGGATCAAGCCCGTTTACGTAGTAGGCCTATACTTTATAATTAGCAGTGGCAATGTGGCAGGTAAATGTGTTTTCCATTGATTTATTTTACAACAGTGTCAGACGTCAGCAGTGCATTGTATATCCCTGATGCCGAGACACGACAGATGATAGTCAACACCCACAATGCCTTGCGTCGAAAGGTTGCTACGCGTTGGGCAGATAGAGGGTTAGCCGCTGGCAACATGAGGAAAATGGTAGGTCTAAGGTTAGGCATATGGTAAGTGGGCAACGCTATAAACATCTCAAACTTTAGTCCTTTGCATGTATTGTTTTATACCCTTTAGGTGTTTAAATGAGGCCTAGCCTGGGCGTGGCCTAAGTAACATGTTGATTTTGTTTTCATTTCCACACAGTGAATTCTATGAAATAAGGAAACACCATGTAATCTTTGACGTTGTAATGTAAACAAACAAACAAAAAGTTTTTTTCTTCTGATTTTCCCCCCAAATTTTTGTTCCCTAATCATGCCATCATGATTCCAGAGATATCTTTTTACTACCACGCTTGTCATCTTCATACAGTCGATTTGTGACCTTCCTAATCCTATAGCCAGCAGTTTGAGACCATTATTTTGGTGCCATTTTGTCAAGTATTGCACTCCTTGGATCTCCAAAGCAAAGCCTATTTCCACATAGTATGATGCTTCGAAATGTTTGAGCACTGTGGCGTTTGCATTAACGTGTGCACAGGTGCGGAGTGCACTTAGGCTAGTTGTTTTGGGAATGGAGGTTTTCAAATGGTCTCAAGAACAAATAATTCTATAACGACTGCTGCATACGTTGAAAGGCAAAAGGGGCATTGCAGAAAAAAAAAAACAAGATAGTAACGATACACTGACGTCAGAGCCAATGCTATTGATGATGAAAGCAAACATGTTTGTCGATTTGATTTTTTTTAAAATTGTGGATCAATATTTTTTGCTTGAACTTATATCAGGCCTATACATGTTTTTGTCCACTTCACACTCCACATGTCTCTGAGTAATTTCATTTGCAAGAATGGTTGTTGATACGATTTGGTGGCCCGATCAGGGAAACACGTAACAAGCCCGCAGGCACGCAATGAATTGTTCGGTGAAACTTCACCAGCCAGACAGACAATTATTGACGCATATATCACTCGGTTAAAGGGTTAAATTGATACGTTCCAACGGCGTCTTTTTGATTATAGCACAATAATTGAATTCGGCTCGTTGGCCCATTCAAGGACATAGGCTTTTAAATACCTCACAAGCGCTACATGAGCACGTGCAATGCATTCGAAGACCTTCGATATCCGAGGCTAAAGGTCACCGAAGGTGATTTGGCGGGAAAGTCACGTCTGCTTCGACTAACACGTGGCATTTAGACAGAAGCAGCTAGGCCCTGGACAAGAATATCCTGGCATGCCAACCTCGGCTAGTCAGTCGTCAAAATACAGTCAAATATCTGCCAAAAAAACTACAGAACTTCATACTATTAACTGACAAACCGTAGGCCATAACTGGTGTATAGGCTTATTGGGCAGGCCGGTGAAAAAAATGATGTTAAGATTCTGTTGAAGAATAGTTTAGGAATATGGTGAGGCTATTTTCCCCACTTTACATGGACGCTACATTTATGGTACAAGTTCAAATATTGTGATCCAAAAATAACCCAAACTCAACATAATAAGAGATGCTGAATTATCAAAACCATTGTCATAGATGGATAGAATGAAAGAGATAATTTAGTGTGACAAACAAGAGTATATGAGACGTTACTTTAGAGATTATTTATTACAATAACTAAACAAAAAGTACCATAAGAGGTGTCGATTCCGAGGTAAAACTACAAAAAGGAAACTAACTATGCACAACAATAAAAACTTCAACGTAACGAGACATGAAAGTGAAGAATAAAAATGGAAATATTTTGACAAGAGGCCCAGACGTTTGCATGACATCATCTATCAACCTGTGTCAATAACCGTACTCAAAAAAGTCACTGGTCATAAAGGCATAATATCGTGGGAAGTCGAAATTACACGTAGAGGTTAATTCAAAGTTAGAAGGTTGAATTGCCAGTAAGGCAGTGGCGTAGCCACGGGGGGCCTGGGGGGCACATCCCCTTCCCCCCCCCCAAAAAAAAATGTTCGTGCCCCCCCCCCCCCCCCCCCACCAAAATACTGATAATGTCCCTTTTCTTTCCCAAACCAAAAAGGGTTTTTGTAAGTTGATTTTTTTTCAGTTAGCCAAAGCTACTCTTTACAATTTCTTATGTCAATGGATATATTCTTTGCGGTCCTCAGGAAGACGATCAGAGTATATCAATATTGAAACGCTGTGTGTTACACACCGGTATACAATCATCGTTTCGCTCAGGACAAAAACAAATTGTCCATTATGTTCTCGGGTCGGGTTAATAGGGTATAACCAATAGTTGCACAACTGGAAAGGTTCTACCCTGATATCCACTCCGCATGTATCTCTAAACAATTATACCTGATTTTTGCATCAACCATGTTGCAGGATTATCACCGAATGCTTGGGAGTTCAGTGACATTATTGGTGACCCGGTCATTGACGGAAAATCATTCCGTGTTACAAAACATACTGTCCTACGGCAGCACTGGAACAAACCGTCAAGTCCAATCTCCGCTGAGAGCACTCTATTTCCTGCGAACAATTTTGCGTGTCACACCCACTTCCAGTGGTGGCACTTGCAATTAAAATCCAACGTATCGGAGCGGTAAATCTCTTTGATATTTCCCGATTTCTTTTTATCCGAACACCTTCTCTTAAATAAAGAAGTGACCTGAATATGCATATGGCGCGAGAGGAAATTCAGGGGTTTTAGGTTTTAAATAAAACTTGGATTGACTACCAAAGTAAAGATGCATATTCTCTTCAGTGGAATTTACACTAGTCAAATATACATGGAGTCTGGTAAAACGGATGTACAAGAGATGCATAAGCTAGATTGAAGTGTAATCTTTTGACGTTGACTCGCCAGCTTACAGGATCGTCTCGTGAAATAGGAAGACGGCATATCGTGACGTAGATATATAGCCGCTGTCGACCATTACTTTTAGAGGAAATGCCAAGAGAAATAGATGTATAGCTTATAAATAATGGTACTACAAAGCGGGTTGAATGAACGGAGCATTGGGTCTTCTTGGGCACAATCTGAGTGGAAGTCGTCTCGGTAACAAACCATTGGGTAGTCTGGACATGATCCATTAATCAGATATAGCAATGATTATAATCACCTCTTTGCAATATTTTTGGTATGTTATCAATTAATATGATTATTTTTCTTTCACTGAGCTAATTTTGAGCCCAGTCAGAGAAACACAATATTAAAAAAAAAGATGCCGGATGCGATCACTGGGTCTTTATGAGGTACGAAGAAGTCCGATATTGTCGTAAAAGCTGCTGTATTTTTTAAGGTCATATGCCTACACAGGATGGTCCAAAAAAACCCGGAACCTCATAGTCATACTTCCACTACCTTAAGACTCAAACCACATATACCAATGCATGCAGCCGTATGGTCGCGAAGGGCGATTTCTAAAGGTTACGTAACACTTTATTTTGAATGAAACTACATGCACACAGACATGTTCACCCAGGCGGGCGAAATCTTTTCAAAATTAATTTCTCCCGTTTGGAAGACCGTATCTTCTTGCAACTTTCAGGGTTTATTTCCCTTATAATGATCCGAGTATGTGCTAAAAATCGTTGTGATATGTTCATTACTTTTCGTTGAAATTGGAAAAATAGGCCTGGCTACGTGCATTTTCAAAAGTTGTAACACTGGTGGTTGCTATATCTGTCAATCTTTTCAAGCCTCACGAATATTAATAATGTTCCTATCCATTATGGTGTGCAGTAAAAATTTGCCGAATAGCCTCCTTCACGAGTTATTAATTAATAAATCTCACCCTCTTTGCCGGCTTCCATTGGTCGATACCGAGACCCACGCCAAGTCACGCGGAGTGACGCTACTGAATATGCTAATATGCGCTCCGTCGTTGTATTGCAGGGCCGAAATCGGTCAACCAAGGCGCCTACGGCGCTATAGGATCTTTGCTAAAAACCATGCACGTGGGTTTGGTTGGCAAAAAATCCTCATCGAAATTGTCTTTGGAGATAGTTCAAGGTGTAACACTAAGGGAATAACAGTGTAAGGAGCCGGTCTTCACTGCGTGATAATGACCGGGTTTGGGGGTGACCGCTTTTAATGGACCGAGACGAAGTCGAGGTCCATTAACAGCGGTCACCCCAAAACCCGGTCATTATCACGCAGTGAAGACCGGATCCTCACACTGTTATTCCCATTAATATATACCTTTTTAACGAAATAAACAGTTAAAATGCTCCAATTTTGTGACTTTCTTTCGGCGATATTTCCAGACTTTTTTGTGTTCATGTCCATGGGCCATATTTTAACTTCATGGGCCATATTTTAACTCTTCGATAAGCGTTGTTATATACACCAACAGCCGGGCCCAGGTTGTGCTGGATATTGCTGGACAACGTCTTCATTGCGTACGCGTACGACGTCCAGGGTTTGGACTTCTGCTGCCGTAGCGAAACGAAATATTTACAACAATGTTTTCATATTTTTACCTGATGGAGGAAGCTGACATTTTGTTTACACACTCCTCGTGTCCAGAATTACAAAGATGCTTGGTTTAGGAAAGGTAAATATGTCGTTGGGCGAAGTGTTTAAAGAAAATAAATCGTAGATCTACACTTTCGTCGTAAACATCCTCAGTATATCAGATACTGCACTGCTGCAGTATGTACAGTACATGTACGATGTCCAGTCGTTTTAAAACTTCCTTACGCGCGCGCACACCCATAGCAATTGTGTTGCGTACGCGCGCGTCAGTGTCACGCGAAGGTGGTTGAGCGCATGTGCAGTGCTGTATTGTTACAAGCTACTGTATGACTGTTGTAAATTTGGCCAATCATTGCCTTCCATGGGGCTGGATCAATGCTGGTTCAGGGGCCATTTTTTTCGCTTGTTCTTTGAAGCCGGTCATTATCACCGTTAATGCCCGGCCACGTGATCGAGTTTCGACCAATCAGAAACCATCAACTCTCCAAGGTATTTGGAGACGTTTTCGAACGATTTCTTCCCGACTTGAAGGTCTGCTTTACCAGTAACCAGTATTGAGGTTTCAGCATCGATGACGGCGATTTTTTTCACTGACATGAAGTTTAGAATTTCTTCTTCCGTTATAATTTAACACTTCAATCATACTGAGCATATTTTCTGAGAATGTTACTGCTCTGTTATAGCGTCTAAGTATAAATCGGATTAACTTTGCTTATCAACGGGCCACACTTCGCCTTCGCAATCACACAGCTGCATGGAGAATCTTTTTAGAAAAAAGATGGAACCAAGATCGCCCGAGTCGGTCCAGTAGTTTTTGTTCTAGAGCCTATTTTGTGAAGCAAGGTGAGGGTCATTTTGTCCCGATGAATTACTAAACAGCGCCCGGGAATTTGACTTACATTGTAATTGATAGAGGGATAGGGATTGTTATCTATACCCACTTGAAAGAAGTATCCTTCACAAAATAGGGATATTTTGGCATCATAATTCTTCTTTAAGGATTCTCCATCATTTGGTACACCACCCTGTATGCTCGAGCTGTTGCATTTTTGCGTATAATAGTTTAAGCTTTCTACGGAATAAGTGTTATACCAAAAGACATTAAAAAGCGTCATTTTGAAGCGTGTTGGGATCGAGATACCGAACGTTCAGGTACGTTTTATTCACGTCATTAGGATGCCTCTTCCATAAACTACACAATATTTGTAATACATGTATCATAATATAGTGAAATGCATTGGTTGAGAACTTTCACGGGACGTACTGCAAAAGTTCTTGTAGACAACCTGATGGATGTGTATCGTTCTCCTCGCTTCGTTGTACAACACAGAATAGACTCACTACACAAGGTAGGTGATGTACGTCACCTGGCGCATGCGCGTGACAACGCAGAACTGCGAATTTAAGGGGCAAAACGGCCAGCGCGGGTCCAAACAATGGGTCCGAAGCTTTTGACTTTTCAGTTAAAAAAATGCATAGGGGTCAGAACATGAAAAAAATCCTTTCTTTAAGAAATTGACATTTTAATTATCATATCGTTACTTCTTAAAGACTAAAAACGCTATACAATGCACATCACACAACAATAATTTATTGTGTAACGGTTGTCTTGCGCGATGTGTACAAATTTTTACACATTCAGTAAAAACAGTTGGTGTACCCCTTCGCTTTACATATCGCTAGCTGATATATCTGCGTTTCCAATAAAAGGAATTGGAAACCGGAGCACCCTTACAAGTCTGGAGCGGGGGGGGGGCTCTGATGTTGCCGGCCACATCTCGATAACATCGTAGGCGTTAGGATGAATCCCAGTGAAAATACACTCTTAAAGGGAGGAGATCGAATTACATTCAGCGCCTATAGTCCCGTCATATCAACCGAGATATCAATATATGACAGCGAGGATTATCCGTATCTTCCATTGATGCGCGCAACAACACCGCATGTTGGTGGAGAAAGGTAGAAGAAATCAACGGGCAAGATTATCCTTCGTCAAGCGGAAAAAATCCCAGGTCTTATCAGCGTGTATTGCCGAGCCTGTTATATCACCGGGGTAGTATGTACAAAGGACGCGGTTCTTGCCTCGGGTCGTATGTCTAGTATCGAATTCTGAATCCTTGTCCAATCCCCAACGCAGATATCCATGCTAAACCCAGTGTTTTCATACGGGGGATCAGCTTTGATCACGCCATTACCTGGCAGACAAACAACTTGACGTGTCTATTGCTGTTCGTACATCTGCTTTTCATGTCTTCTTTGGAAACGGGAATTTTCCCGATGCCCCTCGAGTATATCTGAGTTGATTTTACGGTGACGCTTCTGACTTCTGCCGAAGCTAGCTCACCGAGCGTCTTGTGTGACTCGCCCTAACATAGAAACGATTGTCCCATGAATGCATACAAGAATACACGAACGGGCTATTTAAATCAATAATTCATGAAAGATAACATCACCACCTAATGATGGGACATACAAAAAATCATCTTGATTGTTGTCTTGAGAACCGGTAAACTTCGGTGTAAGTCGTTTAAGTCGGGTGCGTTTGTACCGGTATTGACAGATAAAATGCTTTTGGTGGTAAAAACGTCGTCGTTAAAACACGCGCACAAAAAAGTATGAGAAATAAAATAAACGTACAAAACTAAAAAAATCGTAACGTTTATTCCTCGTGTGAGTCATGCAATTGAAAGCCGATTTGCCAATAAGAAACATGTCTTCTTTTTTTTCTTCTTTTTCAAGGAAAAAAATACAACTTTTGAAGCATATTTATGTTGGCCTTCATACAGTGATACGATTTTCTTTTATAAGTATGATTTTGCCTCATACGTGTGTGCCCGATGTTAAAAAAGTTCTACGGAATTCATTTCCGACCCGTTTCTGGCAAGAATATACAGTAACAAGATTTGCACCTTGATTTAAAGTAAATCAGCTTAACGCCACATTTTAATTTGATTTCAGAGTGAACCGTATTTACCCTCGCGCGCAAAAAAAAAATGATTAAAACTCCATCACTAGCGAGACGGGGTAAAACCACCCGCCCGACGCTAAAGCCTGATTGAGCGTGGGAATTGACGACAACGAGCCGCTGCATGCACCATTCTCGACCGTCACTGGTGTTTACTTCATCAATGCGCTGATGTGCCCACTCCGCTGTTTTTGAAGTCCTGCGCTGCGTATTACACCTGTGTTCTTTACCAATTTAGCTGATAGCTTTCATCAATAAAGTATTTCCCATTGGGGGAGACATACACCGGCAAAGGATGCCGGGCCATCGACTGATTTCCCCCCTGGGAAAAAAGATCTGTGCAAGTTGCTAACAATTCCTGTACGTCACTGTAAAATGTCGTAACACTGTACTGGTTTTAAACTCTTTGGCCTGATGGCAGTTTTTTTAGCATGATCATTACGATAACTCGTTTATGAATAATTAAAGTGGTATTAAAGTAAAAAGTAAGTCTAAAATGCAAAGTTCATACATCAAATTAATAAAATTGTTTGTAAAGTATAAGAGAGACATGAGGTACAAAAACATGCATTCGACCTTATTTGCTTAGCTTTTGCGGGTTCTGAATTTCTGACGGCTAATCACCAAGCGAAATGGACGACCCAGTTTGTATTTTAGTAAATATTTAACCCTTAATTATCAAATTCCACCGTAAAATAAACATTCCGTACCTTATATTTTGAAAGTTTGCGCGTGACTAAACATCATTACCGAAGATGCCGTTGTAATCGTCGTGACATTTGAAATTTCACGCTTCATCGAATAAGGTATCCAAGCTCGACTGAACGGATCGAAAATTTGACGTTAGGTTATCATACCATCGAAGTGCTGAACATGTTTAATTTATCATTGGCGCCGAAATGTCCCATGCCCTGTCACACGACCATTAAGGCACAAAAACACGCGTGTTGTCAGGCGTAAAGACCTGCAGATATAGACAGCACAGGTGAATTCTCTGTGCACATGTCCGAGGTACGCATATAGTGCCAAAGCGTCAAACCCTCTGGTCATCGCTGGTGTTTACACCAAACAACGCCCGACCGAATATCGCGATGGGTAATCATTTATCAATTAGAAAATATGTGGCTCGCTCCATTTCATAAAACTAACGTAGGGATAAAGTACATGTTATTGACTAGTAACTGCGAACATTTTACGTAATTTGCACACTCAATTTAATATGTCCATAAACTTGCTATACATGTTAATAAAAAAAATCACAACATTTAGCTTAACTTGGCATATGGGCTCCCTTTGTGGTAGCCTATATGCAATTCCGGGTACATTCGTTGAAACTTTCAGGATCACTAACGGATACCTCAACAAGTACAAACTTGATGCTACTTTTCTGACCCTTTTATGGGCAGGGCCATGACATTAAAAGTGTGGGGGGGGCCTTCGCCCGCGAAAAAAATTCCGATAATTTCACTTTTCTTTTTCGCATAATATGGCATCTCACCGAAGTGCTACATCGTGAGAATAAAATAATTCCAGAATGTTCCCTCTGTTGGGGTTGGGCCCCTTTAAAAAAAAAAAAAGTGGAGGCAAAAGGCGTTAACAGAAAATCTAGCTATAACGCTACGCGGCGCTATATAGGATGCTATAACAGCCAATGTTGGTGCGGTTTTTTAATCAAGTATAGTGAACTGGGGTGGGCAGAATGTTTACATGTCAAATCAAAAACCTTTTGTTCCCCTTTTAGTGCGTGTCACCATTTTTTACCTCAAAAGAAGGCACACCTTGCCAAAGTTGGATACGAATCAACTCTTGCGAATTTACCCCGCGAATATTCCGTGATGACGTCAGATCAGCTCGGTATTCGCGTGAATGATAAACTGGCCTAAACGCATTACGCCGACGAGTCGCCTGATGTAAAACGTCATTTCATTCCGGTACTGTAGGCCTGCCTGGTTGTAGAAAGAAGCTTGGCTTTAACGGATAATTACATTTGGTGTTCAAAATGTAAAATGTTGCTTTGTGTGTCATGTTACCATCCAGAGCTGGGATGCAGATCTAGCGGATGAGGCTGCTACCATGGCAACCTGCGAGAGCCTGGAGGATACCTCCGATATGAGCTGGTCATTAGGGGGAGGGTCTTCGGTCATGTTCTTCGAGGACATTGAGACCCTGGGGCATGGTAAGAACTTGGCTGTCAGCTCAAACCGCAACATCCGTCAGATGATCGCAGAATGGAGCGCGGGAGAAACCCACTTTAACTACAAATATCAGACATGCGCGCCAGACTACGACTGCACCGCCTTCAAGCAGGTAAATATTCCCTACGAAACCCTAGGTGTAAAAACTAACTCATCGGGATGACACTCACACGCCTCTGGTTTATGTAGAACCACTGTGTAAGCACCATGTGCACCTCTCTCTATTATCCCTGCTTGGTGGAGATACAGCCATCTATAGTGATGAAGCTTGCATCCCAGACTCTATGTTAGGGAGGCAAAGGACCATCCATATAGGCAACAGACTTTATACAGTGCGAGTGCAGCAAACTTCATTACCTCTGCAACTGTGTCTTTTCTTCACTCTTAAAACTTAGTCAAAACATTGACTGGTTTTCCTAGTTATTGAAAAAACAGGTTTAATAGTTAAACATGCAAAGTTTCATGCTATGACTACAAAAAGTAGTTGGATTTGACTCCATTTTTTGTTATTTGCATATATTTTTATTTGCTATAGTCAATAATACTGACTGGAAAAATCTAGTCAGATTGACTGATTATCAGTTGCACTCAGCTGAATAGCTGGTCAGATTTGACCGGTTTCTAGTCAAATCTGACTAATATTTTTTGAACGTGATTAGGTCGACAAAATCAATGAATCCGGGCCTAGCTAACGAACCATAGCATTACCTGCCTAGCGAAAAATAGCGCCTTAAACGGTTTTGCACAGAATTCGATTCTGTAATCACGTTTCCGTAAATACTTGTATGAGAAAATACGGAAGCTTGTCAAATATCTAAAAAATAAAAAAGGAAATACATAACATTCAATTTGAAATCTAAATTTCTTGAATAAATAAACTTACTTGTGGATATTTAATATTAAGCAGTGAGAGTATTTGTTGTACATAACAGTAGGATGCGCGCGACCAGCGGCGGCGGAACGGTTTTCAAACTTAAGGGGCGCATCACCAAAAGGGGCACTTGCTCAGTATTAAAGGCATCTTCCGTCGGTGGAGCAGCGTATCCAGCATTTTTTTTTTGGGGGGGGGCACATCCATGCTGAAATGTCGACACGTTTTTTTTTTCACCGGACACTTGGCCTCCGTAAAATCAAATGGGAGAGGGAGGGGCTGGTACTATCTTCCAAAATAAGAGGCGCTCTTCAAAACCGGCCATTGTGCAAACTACGCATTATGTGCCATTTTCAGGGCGTATTTTAAGGGTTTGGGGGGCTTGGTTTCATATTTCTCGTTCATATCAGAACTCTCCATACAATTTGGGGAAATGGTTACTGAAAACAAATTATCCGAAATTTTAGGGCCAGTTTTGTTTTCATCTCGAGGGGTGCCCATTTATGTTCGAAGGGGGAAATTAATTTTATGTCCGCAAGAGGGGCACTTGGGTAAATCGGGGGGGGGGGGGGGGGGCAAGTGCCCCCTGCCCCCCGGTTCCGCCGCCCCTAGACCAACACCTTACATACAACATGCAAAGACGTATCCAGAGAACCAGGTTTATATCTACAAAATGAAAACGGGGCCATGATGGCAAAATCAAACAACACAAAGATGAAAAAGGTTGATAATGAAGATACGCATACAGAAACCCGTTATGTGGCCACCATGGGCAGGAGGAATCTCTTCCGCGGGAATTTGAATCCAGCCGCGGATTAGAAGCAGAATTGGCATGTTGTGCAGCTGCGACCAAAGCAAATTGGGTCACCATTACATATTGGACAGTGATGAGAATTACACGGGCATTTACAGCCCTTTTCACGAGCAGATGAACACTAACTAATTGGAATTATTTTCCACATTTGTGCAGATGATATGGGCCCGGGCCAGTCGGGTTGGATGCAGTCTCAACCCGTACTGTGAGCAGGATGGCGAGAGTGTCAAAGTCTTGGTCTGTATGTACGATGAGAAGTAAGTGTTATCCATTGCATACTCTACAGTTCACAAATTACATACATTTTTGTTCCTCTCAAAATACGTTTTGATTAATTAATAAGGTCGGGGGGGGGCTTGGTAGGTTTTCAAGTTCCCAATTGGCGACAGTTTGCCGTTTTTTATTAATGCAAAATATTTTTTTTATTTTTCTCAAATTTCGGAATTTGTATTTTTTGTTTTAACTTACAGAGTAAGCATTCTTTTCGACCAATATGTCATCGGTCCAATGTGCAGCAAATGCGACTCGCCGGCTGGGTTCTGCGAAGACGCCCTCTGTGGTAAGTTAATTGACATGAACACATAGGACCGAGGCGGATCAAGGATTTTTGGAAAGGGGTCCGACCTTTAGTGCTTCAGTGCCTTTAGGATCTTTAATTTTTCAAATACTATTGACCTAGAGCGGGGGTGCCCATGTGCCCTTTAGTTTGTTCACAGGCTAGTTATTAGTTTGTATGTAACGAAAAAGGGGGTTCGAAACACAACCTGCCCTCCCCAGCAGACTCCGTCTTCGTTGGGTTGATTGAGAGTCTGTTCTTATAGGATTTTCCGTCATTCGTTTACAACGTACATGTACATGGTAACAACGCCAAAGAGTATAGCTCGCCTAATTTCTTTCCAAAAAGGCGATTCCGTGTTATTAAACCATTGCTGTGACGTCACGCAATTAAAAGTGGATTAGTATCTACGAATCTTTAGTAAATATCACACTTCGCACATTACACTGTTTAAACAATATTTACTGCGTGTTTGAAAACAGGAAAATTATCAACTTTGGGTAAAATTTTATCCTTTTTCCAGTATTCAACTTTTCCCTTTTATGTGAAATGAACATGACACACTAGCCATTTTACCACACGTTACTTTGACCATTGAAAATGGTTTAATCGTATGAATTGCGTTATACCTTATTATAATACACTCGCAAGTGTGGATTCTAAAATTACGAGTCCACACTTTCTCGTGTATTCTCCTCATAACAGAGTGATGCTGCAGAGCGTGGCACATTCCTTGCCCATTTTCATCTATGGATGTTCTGCACTGATAGTATGTACCGTTTCTGCAAATGGCCCTGATATTTGACCGTGTTGTGGGGAACATTGTTAGGAAAATTTGATTAGATTGATTAATTTGATAAATTCGATTAGCTCGTTGTTTTGCAAACGAATATTGTAGATTGCGTGAGCATAAACATCGAAATGCATCGAAACGGATATGCAAAGATTGAAAGTAAAGGTAATAATAGGCATATGCCTTAATTGGATTTTGTCAGTTCAGGGCGTAATGGTTTCCTGTAATCTGTTTCAAAATCAGTTTGAGTATAAGTCTTTTTTTCTCTCTCTTCAATATTTAGTCACGTCTTGCTATGGGAGCACGTCTGGAGATTGTGGTAGGTACCCATCCTACGTTATACAGCCAGTCGAATTCTAGCATTGCTTCGGAATACAATTTCTAATCTTGCAAAACGTTTTATCAGGCGTGAGTTTTAGCCCCTCCCCCCCCCCCCCCTAAAAAGAAGAAGAAGAAGAAGAAGAATACCCTGGAATGGACATTTAAGAGACTTTCCCATAGACTTGTGCACAAAAAAAATTTCAACTTAAATGTGCCCTAGCCCAATTTTCCTTGTCCTTTTCCCACGAATTTCGGTATTTTGACTAATTAGACCACGAGCAACAAATACAACCTAATGGCGATATTAAAATGTTGCCTCTAAAGGGTGCTGTGCCATTTGGGAGACAGTTATGTGTCTCCCTAAAAGCCGGTGTCTCCCTATTATCGAAGAAATTACGATAACGTGTCTCCCTAATGGTGCATTTAGTAATATAAATCTACTGATAAAAAATACAAAAGTCTCCCTCATTCTGCACTAAAACACTTGTCACCTTTTACTCAAAATAAAGATTGTCAACATTTTACAAATTATCCACGCCCTCAATAATGACTTTAATGTTTTAAGTAGCTGTTTGTATAATAACAGTTGTATGTTTTAATTTATATCTCTGCTTTGCAAAGAAGCACGATCATATTGAACGTTAGTTTTATCTGCATGATTAGTCATATCTGATTGATATTTTCTTACCAGGTTGTCAAAAAACCTGTCACCATCCGGACGTCGGTGAGGGCGTGCTTGATGAGCACACCTGCACGTGCAACTGCGCGTTCGGCTTGGGACCAGATTGCGAAGGTAGGCGGATACATTAAAGTGAACATCGTCCTAAAATGTCCGAAAATTTCATGTTTTAGATTGTTTACTTATCCTATTTTAAAGGTCTGAGTGCAAGGAGAGTTAAACTTCGGGCGTATTCGAAATCCTGTTCTCGAGTGACCCTCTATTAACAGTGTTCTCGGGTTGCCCATTACGAACGCCGAAGTGCGTGAGCAGCTGGGCGAAAATTCGAGATGCAGCTGCCATATAAAACTCCAAGTTAAATGAAAGAAAAATATAAGTTCTTACGAACATAATCGAAATCCCGATACAGCTAGCTCTACAAATTGACAATGACAAGCCCACTCTACGACAACGTACAATTTGATTTTTTTATCATTTTAAATTACTCCTGCATTGGATGATGCTTTCAATTTTATCCACAAGATAAACACATCTTGTGGTAGGGGCCTGGCGCCATCTTTGTTTTTAACGTACACTCCCCAGTAAGTGGGGATTGAAAATCCTGTTCGCGATCACTGGTCGCGTGTTAATTCTCGTCATTCGAAACCCCGTCATTTAACATGAGAACGGGTTTTCGATACGGCGCCGCTAATGTCGCACTATTCCTTAGAAAAGACCGGGTGAACATTTGTTTACATCTGACGCAGCGGACATTTCGTGTCATACAGGGTGGGTCAAAATAAGCGGAACCCAAACGCCATAAAGTTCAAATATATATTTAAAAACATATGTAGCACCAAAAATAATAATGACTGGAAAGCCAATTTCATAAGCTACTTTTAGATGAAAACATTACTGAAATTGCTCAATCCGTTCAAAGAATATCGCCATTTAAACACAATGACCCTAAAACCTGTCTCGTCCAAAAAAAGCAATTCATTGTGTTTTTTACTGTGTGGAACAACAAAGTACATGACACAGAATACTCATTTCAACAACTGTCACCAACTGTAATACACAATATCTTTATTAACAACCCTGATTAAGCAAACAATATGATTTATAAAATCTACTTTTTTTAAAGGACGGGCCTTCAAAGGGATTCTGTTCAATAATTTGAACGTTTAAACTGAGATTTTATTGCTGGTGATGTTTGAAGACAATTGCGACGACGATTCTTGAAAAAGCATTTTTTTGGACGAGAGAGGTTTAAGGGTCATTGTGTTTCAATGGTGATATTTCAGTCATCTAAAAGTAGCTTATGAAATTGGCTTTCCAGCCATTATTATTTTTGGTGCTACATGTTTTTTTTAAATATGAAATAAAATTTTGGGGGTTTGGGTTCCGCTTTTTTTTTTTTTTTACTCACCCGGTACATACGTATTTCCAGTCGTAAAAAATAAAGTAAAGTCGTGATAAATATAATCTAAACCCCAACTGTATACACAGCAACTCTGCTGACCATTATAATTGTTGGCAGCATTCTTTACCTGTCTAGCAACAGCTTTACAAATCCAGCTTGTCTTGGCCACTTGCCGTTCTCAGGTCCCCCCCCCCCCTCCCACATTTCTGCATGTAAAAGTCCGTTTTCGTGAAAGTCCGTTTTCGTGAAAGTCCGTTTTCGTGAAAAACGCGTTTTATAGCTTAATTAGTGGCGGGGGGGGGGGGTTCACAATGAAACCTGTTGTATAGCTCCAGAAAGCTATGGCTGATCGGCATGAAAACTTGTGAATTTTCCTAACTGTTCTCGGGAATCAATATGGTGCTAAAACAAACTGCCTAGGATGTCCATGGTTGCCATGTCAACCGATTATTTTTAACACTACTAGTAATAAACTCTGGCCATTTTTGTATAAACTCATGGAAGTGTGCATCTTTTGTGGGCCAAATCATGTTTTCTCTGCTCAAACTTATCAAGAATCCAATTGAGGGTACAATTCATGGTCATGTGAAATAACCGCCATTTCTTTAAAAAAAAAAATTAATTTTTTTTTTTTTAAAAGGTGTTTAATTGGATGGATACTGATCAAAATAATGCCTATGCCAAATTTAAAGAAAACATAAGAATTGACCTAAACGGACAAAAACATGGTAAAGCGCCCTCTTATGGTTTCCTGCCATTTTTTTTGGAAAACCGGTCGCCGCATTTTGAAATTAGGATGGGGGACACAATATCCCCCCCCCCCCCCCCCCCATGGGCGTCGCGAGGGGGGGGCAAGGGAGGGCACTTGCCCCCCCCCCCCCCCCCCTGGAAAAGCAAAAAAAAAAAAAAAAAAGAAGGAAAAAAAAAAAGAAAAAAAAGAAAAGAAAAAGAGGCGCGAAGACAAAGTGGTGTAAATTTAATGAGTTGGGGGGGGGAAATGTCCCTGCCCCCCTCTAAAACTGATAAATCGAGAATGTGTTGAGAAATACAAGCATTTTTTGGCAAAAAAATTTTTTTTGCCCCCCTCTAAAAAAAATCCTGGCGACGCCCATGCCCCACCCCCCCCCCCCCGGCTCTGAGTAGAGGGTTAAGCATGGAAGAGGAATGTGAACAGGTATTCCAGGTTGGCAGTGCTCAGTGAGTTCGGAGATTCAATCAGTAGAAGATGTTTTCTATAACCTTTCTTCCTGACAATGAAAATCCAAGTGAAATCCTCTGCTATCTTCAAGGATCAACACAATCCTTTCCTTTATATTTTCCTTTATGTAAATTCCAGAAGTTTCTAATTTGTTCATGAAATCCCTTTTTTTATCAGAATTGTGTGAGAATCCACAGCCCTACATTGATTTCGACTTCTGTGCTGACATGAACAACCCCGACTCATGCGAGCTGGATCAGGACTTTCAACAGCAAAACTGCCCAGCAAATTGCGACTACGGCTGCAGTAAGTATTAAACCAACGGAGACCGATGAAGCACCAATATTGGAAGGTGTCCGTGCCAGGCAAAGTTGGAGGTTCTACCTTCTTAAGACTAAAGAAAAACGTAAATGACTTCCGATTTTAAGAAAATCTTCTTTGCCTCTGTGTCTAAACATAAAACTGCAGACATTTTAATCATCTTCGTTTAAACTTCCAGAAGAGAATTTGACATAAATACAGGGGCCCTGGGGCGGACCTAGCTTACAGAAAACGGGCGGGGTGTGATGTGAAGGGGGGGGGTAGTGAAGACGGGCACGCCTGTTTGAGAATTAACTTACGAAGTTTAGCATTCCATGTATTATTTTTGACCCCATTTCACTAGTATCACGGGGGATTGCAACCCCCGTACTCCCCCACCCACCCCCTCTAGATCCGCTACTGAAATACTTGACGCTTGTCCCTTTGCAGGGTCGGCACCGTGATCATCAAAGCCAGGAGTGATGTAACTTTGAACCCAGACATAAAGAGGGCGCCCTAGCCCAACGCATCGACACCACCGTCACTGTTTTTCCCGATCATCTCAGTTTGCTGTTCAGACGTAACGGAACGGTCGTTTGTAACACAGATGTTTTAGTTTGACTGTAAATAATTAGCAACTATGTTATGATTGTGTCTGTCTTGTTCAAGGGAAAAGTTTTATTGTGGTTCCTTGAATCAGTTATAGATTGTTTCCACAATTTCTTTCTTTCACGTACATTTTAACAGGTCTGTCTGCTACGTTTGGCCGAACATTTTAGTTGACCTAGATCTGTCGGCCTTTTATCCTGGATCGAACTTACTCGCGCTTATATTGATTATTGACTTTAACGGTATTTGGGGGTTACTTCAAATTGTGGGACAATTATTACTTTTAGTTTTAATCGTATATATTTACAAGGAGAACGAACTGAAGGAAAATGAACGTTTTGGACGGACTTCGCGTCTTGCGACGTATTTGTGTGTGTCTGTTGATAAATATGTTCATACATAACTTGGCCATTGAAAATTCCCACTTTCCAACTGGAATCACTTTTCAAATAAGATAGTTATGTTTTAGCGAGGCGGCGTCCCATTTAAGCACAAACCTTACCCTAAGTCATTTTCCTCTCATACGTACAAATTAATATTTATACTAGAAGTATATTTTATTTTAATTATACTGCACTATATAAACGTATTGAAGTTTAGTTTTCAAATAGCACAAATATGTAAATTTCATATACTTTCAAAATCTTGTAGCATAAACAATAGTAATGTTGTGGCTTATCTTGATACTAATTCCATAGATTGAATATTGGGTTTTGCCCTTCACCGACGTATACGTCCAAAATACGGCGGTGAAGGGCAAAACCCATTATTGAATTTACATCACCCCGACGCATATTCTATCTTATGAATACTGCCATAGATGCGAAGTATATACTGTAATTTAATTTATACGCATAGGCAGATTTTCGCAGGATTTTTGGTTAAATTTTTCGTTGGCCTAATCAACAGACACTACGTGATCTTTCAATCAAACGGACGCATCCGCGATCATAATGTATGATTGCGTGTACATATAGTTCTTTGAGGTCTCTTGCGATGTTAAGAGGTCTATAATTTAGATTTTTGGGTTTCTCAGGTCCAAAAGGCGGTCAGAATTTAGATCGGGCAATATCCAACTTCAGATAGCTACCACTACTGCTTCTTGTGATTTCATTCAAAATACTAAGATTTCTGTTATCGTATGGCACCTTCATGTAAAGTGTATGACCTTTCGTTTTCATGCCTTGATAAGAATTTTTATTTTCCTTTTAAGTGTGTTAAAATGATTGTAATCTGAATTCTGGAAATAAATGAAATAAATATAACATTGATTGGAATTAGAAGTCAAATGACTGTTGAAATAACTTGGCGTTATTGCACAGAATCGGGGAATTACCTTTTTGATATCAGCACATGATTAGTCATCAGTTGAATAGACTAAAAGTCTATTCAACTGATGACTAATCAGGGTGCGCCATCATGAAAATCATAGCGAGGCATGCCAACAAACATGGTGGCGTGTGTGCGATGAACGGGGAACTCTCGCAAAGTTACAGAAGATATACACTCTTATAAATGGATTGATAGCTCAAATTGCCCGAAACATCCATCGGCATTCTAGGTAGGTCATGTCTCATTGTATTTTGAAGGATCTTACAAAAATAAAGCCCAAAAACCAGGCTGAACTGAAAATCCGTGTTATTTAATACGCGTATAGCGCCGCCGTCAGATCAGAAACCGATCAAGACTTTCACTTTTCCTTCCGCTGAGTTTTCTGAGCTGAAATTGCACCTGTGTATTAGTATATATAGGAATTATTTATACATTATAATTCGTCCTAGTTCCGTTTGTCGACAACAATCTTGCTCACACCGACTAGATGCAGTGTCATTCCTATTTAAGGCTTCCGGCTACACCCATGGCCTGACACCGTCACCAGTTCCCCCATCGTCGCGGGACTTGGAGTATATAGGCGGAAAGAAAGCAGAGGATGTGAATTATACACAAGGGCTTGATTACAGGGTAGTGAAGAGAGCACGCAGTTCTCAACCCTACTCGTAGTTTGCTTGGCCCCAAGAGATGATTCCAATGGCGAGGGTTGGCCCAAGACAACTGAAGCCCTGATGATGTTGCAGAGGGCTGCCAGAACTCCTGTCTTCCGGGACCGCCTTTCGCGTGCCCCAAGCATGCAGTCAATACTTGAAGATTTGGAAGGAAATTCCAAGCACAAGTAATTTTCTCATATGGCAAGACTCCATTGTCTGCTTCAACTTCTTGATAAGTCATTCATCATCAGATGGAAATTGGTCAACAGATGGAAATTGATGATCTTGATGACCTTTTGACTAGAAGCGGGTGTGTATGTAGCCATTCGCCAACACTATACAGAGATCATGTTTGATGGCTAAGCCTACCCTGATTTAAGAGGACAACCAAGTCATGTATGCAGCTTTGTGGCACATAAAGTGGGCTGTTTGAGCTCTGGCTGGTTGAGGATGGTCACGAACACGACGTGGAAGTAACTTGCCCAAAATATGTTGGTCACCAAAGAAAAGTTGCAGTCAAACAGAACATGGGACAACTGACAGATATTCTGAATGTACCGTGATCTCATCGAAGATTTTGACAAGAGGTCCTCCGACAATCCAACTTTCAGGTTGTGGTTAACATAACGGGACACCAGGTGCCAGGTAGAGTTCATAATTGGACTTATCAGGGATGAGGGGAAAAGGTACGTAACTGAAGGGAACTTGTCTATCTGGCAAACATGAAACTCCTGCACCATAAGTTCAAATCCGGAGGCACTCTAAACAATGCACGCCGCGTTCCTCCTGATGCACATGGTATTACAAGTGTTGTATCACATCATGGCCAGAACAATCAAGCATCACACAGCACATAAGATGTCTCTTCAACCAGGAAGATGATGAGGAAAAACTGCCTCATCCATAATGAGTTCTCATCCCAGATAAAGTATGATGATATGATGTTAAGCTAATCATAGGACCTATCGATGGGCAGAGCAACCTGATGCTTCTGCGTGAAGGAATTTGAGGTGCGCACTTTCATTTAGGTGTCGGCGGATGCCACTGACTGACCAGGGTGACAGTAAGGTCATGACTAAATTCTGCTAAATGCACTTCAAAAATCTGTCGGATTTATCAAAGATCTGCCAAATTCCCCAGAATTACTCGAAATACACTATAAACACTTTCAATCACATGCAGATGTTGTAATATTGCCCTAATTAATGTTCAAATTACATTATAAACAATCTATAGCCACATAAAGATAATATGAAATTGCGAAAATTTCAGGCAAAACGCCGGTTGCGTCAGACTCAATCCAGTTCCCAGTGAACCTCAGCACCTAGACCAGGTAGCCTGTCCTATTTTGCAAGGGTTTGTTTGAAAAGATTGATGCTTTTGTAAACAAACGTACTTTTGTTGTTGTTGCAAATTTGCTGTTTTTTATCAAATAACCATTTTTGCACAATTCTGCCAGAAATCTGCCCAAAAAAATCTATTCTGTCAAATTTTCTGTCAAACTCGTTTTTTTTACAAAAAATCGGTCAAAGTTAGCCGAAAATCGGCTAAAACGGACACTATGGTAATAAAATACATTGACTTGAACACATCGGGATTAGACACTTTATTATTTTCCAGAATTACCATCAAAATACCTAACTGATACAAACACAAACCGTGAGAGTAATGACCGACATGACTGAAATGCCAAGTGTCATTGGAGTTTATGCGACGGTGTACTCTTCTATTGTTTGGAGAAAAAAATACACTTTTTTGCAGTATAAAATCAAGGGTGGCATCCACCTACATTTTCTTCCCCATCTTATGACTGATTAATCCAACGTGGTTGCCTGCCATTACCAAAAAAATGCCGTAAAATCTATACATTTAAGGCAACCCACTTGCCTTAATTAAAATCAGTAAATTCAGCTTATTATAATTTAAGTAATTGCAACTCACATACAAAGGGAATGTAGTAATGATTAAAACGATGGAATTATCTGCTACGTCGTTAGATTTACCAAATTGTAGTATTGCTTCATACTTCAGGGTATCCTCACTTATCACAACATAATCTCGGTACAACGTAGTTCCAAGTTGAAGTTTCATATTCAATATAGTCCGTGGGACGAGAGGCCGAAAACGCTTTAGTTTTCGAGATACGCGATCTGGTTCGCCGAATTTTATAAAACTTCTCAGACGAAAAGACTTTGTTCCCCGATCAACAGTTTGTTTGGGAATGAGAAAATCTGGGATAAAAACGCCGAAAATTCTACATAAGAAAAAAAACAAAATAAGAAACAGCGCCCTCTATTGACACAGTCAGAAACCTTTTCGCACGCAATGAGCGCTTGCCAGATTATACTTCTTTCAAGTTTCATATTACATGCATCTTTACATTATTTCCCATCAGGATACCAAACCCTTTTCATTACATTAGTTTGTCCAACTTGAAATGATCAAGTTTTAAGATCGAATGTTACGTATTAGCTACATACAAATTGATTGGTATAGCTAAACCGTACCCCAGATGAGAATCTCAGGGTATAACGTCTTTCAGTTCTGCTCCACATTTTTTTTTTTTTTAGGGGGAGATTTGTCGAAAAGTCAAATGGCCATAAATGAAGCTTTTTTAACAGACTTTCCCCCTTTTCAATGGCAGTGAAGCAGCATTTTAAAAAGGGATCGTATCCATGTATCAGATAAGTTGAAGCGACTTATTACAAAACTCAAAAATGACATCTGAAGTTTTCATACATGTACTTAGGTTGATTTTGTTATTGATTACACTTTTATAATAAAAAATGACTCATAAAAATGAAGACGGCAATAACTGCAAATACGGTTTTGGTATTTTTTTTATATTCCAGGCTATTCCAAATAGTGATTTATTTAATATAATCTAATTATATTTCATTTATTTAATTTTTTTTGTGATGGGGAGGGGCAATTTAAACCTGCACAGATTGTACCCACACAAGACGAATGACAGAAGTTTGTCCAATCTGTACTGATTGAGCATTATACTTGTTATGATTTTCAACTGACAAAACGAGCTATATGAGCACATACATCACAGACCGATTTCATATATAACATGTCAAAAGTCTCATCAAATTGAAGGAACCACTTTCTGTTTGAAAACATTTTGAAAAGAAAATGAATGTATATTCCCCTATTTGGAAGCTTTGAGTGGCAGCATTACAACTGAAATTATTTTGTTTCAGCTAAAACCGTTACCGTTTTTGTTATTTTGAATATTGTTGTAAGAACCGATTCATGTTGCGTTGTTGCTCCATCCATTCTGTTAAATCCACAGTAAACCCCAAGGCCCCCTTTTTGAGGCTGCATCAAATTTTTAATACTGTTTTTAAATTTCAGGCATAACGTTTTTAAAAGATGTTTTTAGCACGGTTCAGATTCTCCACCAGATGCCACGCACTTAACATTATGTTACCCTGAGATAAGAGTTCACAAAATTATTCTGATCTGGGGTTTAACCATACCAATCGATATTTATGTAGCTAATACATAACATTCGATAGTAGTAAAATTAAAACTTGATTATTTCATGTGATACAAAACTATAACGAAGAGATTTTGGCATCCCGATGAGAAATAACAAAAATATATGCCCTTTTGCTGGGAACATTTTAGTCATTACGCGCTATTACATAAGGGCATATGCACATATGCCCTTCTGCCGGGCACACGACGAAATATAGATTTACTCGAAGACATAAAGTAAATTACACTTCATTTTCCAGAAATACCATTAAAATATAGATACAAACCACCAGAGTAATGACTGACCGTTGGACTCAAGTGCCAAGTGCTATTTCAAATTAATGCGACGGGTATGAACGCCAAGAAAACCGAGCTGATGACCATTAATGAGGCAACACTGAACCGCGCTCCTGTCCTCTCCACAGATGGCACCCAACTCAAAGAGGTGCAGGACTTCAAATATCTGGGTTCCTACATAGCTGACAGCAAGAAGGACTTTCTCACAAACTCCCCTCTATCTGGAACTTAATCCGACATACCTCAATCCACCAAGCTTGCTTTCTTCCGACCCTCTGTCGAAAGTATTCTGCTATACGGCGCCGAGACATGGTCTATGAAAGAGCAACTCAAACAGAAACCAGATGGCACCTACACTCGCCTCCTCATGAGAGTGCAAAATATTTCCTGGAAGGAACATAAGCAGTGGCGTCACCAGACTTTTCAGTCTGGGGGGCACAGGGGGGCACCAGCATTTGATGGGGGGGGGCACTTAGGTGGATACGGATCGCCGTCCTGGGGGAGGGGTCTAAGGGGAGGGGGTGCCCCCCTCCCCTTTGGAAAATTTTCGCATACGGAGGATGGGCTAGATGCAAAATGGTGCCACATTTGATGCTAAATTCGATCTGAAAAACCAACTCAGATGATGGGAGTTGAATATAACAAAATATATATATATTTTTTTACCAACCCAAATCTCAGATGGGGGGGGGGGGCACTCGGGGGGCACTAGGTTTTCCAGGGGGGCACGTGCCCCCCCCCTGCCCCCCCCCCCCCTTGGCGACGCCACTGAAAGACAGTTAGGCGGAAATATACGGCAGCATCCCACCTATCAACTACAGTTGCACAGTGCAGAGCCCGCCTTGCCGGCCACTGCTATAGAGCCAAAGAGCAAGTTGTCTGGGCTCATCTGCTGGAGATTGCCTTGCCCCAACAGAGGGAGCAGTCCACTCAACTACGTTGACACTGTATGCAGTGATGTGAGCCAGCTCGTTGATGACATCACCACGGCCATGGCGGACAAGAGAATCTGGAAGAGTTTGGTTGCATCCATCTCGCTGCGGCCCCCCAATGATGATGATGATGATGATGATGTTTCTATGTGTTTCATGAAAATAATACTTTTTTGCAGTATAATGTAATACACGGAGGTGAAGTATTTTAAAGTAACTTAATTACAACTTCAGAGTACACCTACAATAAAAAAAAAGGTATTTTCTTACAAATACATACAATAATTGATGTCCAAATTCTTCCAAAATCTAAAGAAATACCCATTTTGAACTTATTTGACCTTTGACCTTGAAGATGACAATTATGGCCAAAAGCAAGGGTGGCATCCACCTATATTTTTCTTCCCCATCCTATCTCTGATTGATCTGACATGGTTGCCTGCTATTACCAAAAAAATCCGTCCAAAGTGTAAAATTCTACTTAAATTCCGAACCAAAGTAACTCTGCTCCGTTATCGATATTTAAGAACGGTGCACACACATGAAGGAATGACATGATCAACCTAATGGATTCATTTTCATTTAAAGGGAATATATACAACATTTGCAAACATCGAAAAATAAAACTTCCAAGATTTTACCAAATACCTTACTAGGATGTTGGTAAATGACAGTCTAAGGCATCCTGTAAAATTATGGCACCTGGTGTCAAGTCATTTTCATGAAACTTGTATTGTTGTATACATTTCCAACGGTGGTTGGCCGACCACCGTTGGAAAAACCTAACTATTTTTCAACTTCTGCTCCAAATTTACAATTTTCAGTCCAAATTTTGTTTGCTATTGGCATGTTCATGAACGGGTGCAGGCCAGCTAGACTGGTTCCCTTACCTTACAATTTTCCGACAACTATAAATTGATCCATTTTATCTTTAGTGGAGTCAGGGAACCAGACTACTTAAACATTTTTTTGTTTTTCTTGGTTTTTCAAGCATTTTCGAAACACAAAACTTCAAAACATGTCAGTTAAACAATATTTGATCTAAGCCTATTATACTTACCCCTCAAATAGTTCATTTCTGAAACTTACAGCAAAAGCTTTAATAACATCATCATCAACAATCTTTTAGGAGGCCCATTAAGTATAAATAAAATGTGAGAGCAACAAGTATTGAAGAAAAAAACACCCAGGAATATTATTCTTCAGATCAATTTTCAACCCTGAATATTTTTGTTTTGATTACTGACAGATGAATCATTCATTCACCCATTCAGTCACCACACCGCATACTGCACGCGTTGCCTGGTACCCGGTCATACTAGCATAAATCCAATACACTGACGTTTGATTATCAGCTTTTCGCACAAACGAACTTGTATCTCATGCTGTTTCGGTCAATGCACCAGTGTATAGGGAACACATTGTCGTCAACTACTTGTGATTATATACGTGAACGAACGGCCATTATTTTTCGCAAGCTGACGACTATTGATCAATTTTCTCCATCTTTCCAGCGTTTTCCTGCCGTGGTGGTTGCTTACCATGGCATGGTTTGTAGTTTTACTGGCAGTTCTTTTAGTGCAGTGTGGTTCAGCTGTATTATTGGAATCGTATGAACCTGGTAAGTCAATATATAATGTGTTTTTTTTTTTACAATTCGGCTTTTGTTTGACCAGTGTCACTACTCACTAGACTACATTAGGGCCTATATAGTATAGTCTACAGTCGTTTTCCTAGTTCCGGATAGTAAACATCATTCAGACTGATTTCGGCTCAACTACTCCACGAATTCAAGTGACATTGATTAAAAAGTTTACCGTGAGTGATGGAGAGACCACGAAATAATTTTCAAAATTTAAGCTCTTTTCATTTTGATTTTACGACGTCAATAAAGCCGATGTCACTTTTCCTAGTTCCGGATCGGTTCAATCAGTTCCAAATCGATCAAAACTGCTTCATGCGAAAAAAAAAAATCACGCGAGAAAATCCTTTTTTTCAGCCAGAACCAACCGAATCAAACATATTTTCTGATATTGATAAAGTATTATTCATGTTATTTCATTATCCAAAAATAGTTGATAGTGGATATTTTGCCGGAGGTAATGACGGCAAACTAAAGTTTACTAAAGGTTTGCTGGCGGCAATCCATATCAACAGAGGGCGCTGTACTCTTTAAGATAGGGCTGAATTATAACATGTATTAAATTCCCACCAAAAGTTGTTTAGCACGTTTGGTGTAGTGGTTAAGCAAAAGTTCTAGTGAGCGGGATGACTCCGGTTCAATCCCGATCGCTGCCACATTTTTAAGGTTTTTTTTCCCATCCCCAAATAAATAAGAATATTCTTCTTTTATTATTTTAACACGTCTCAAACATTTTATTGCATACTAATTGAGTATTACATTTTCTTTTTCAGATTTGCGGCTCTGGAGGATTTTTTTTTAAGGGAAATAAAGTCCGAAATTAAAATTTGTCACCGGAAAATGTTTAACTTTAAGTTAAAAAAAACAGTAACTGCGCATGTTCAGTGCATATCCGGCAAACTAACGTTTACTAAAGGTTTGCTGTCTCCGGCAAAATATCCACTGCCAAAATAGTTCATGCAAGAGAATTCCAGCAAATTTTAAAAAGAGAAAAAATGTAATGATTTGGAAACTTTTATCTGCAGCACAACGGCTCGAACTCACGCGCAACCGAAAATCTTTGACCCAGCAGAACACGTCACACAAAATCTATTAACGCGCGTGTAGTTGGGTCGTAAGTGCACGCGCAATCCGGAACTAGGCAAAAGCATACGGTCATTCGTTGGCGAATTTTCAAATATTAGAGACGCTACAACTTATTTTGATCGCAGTGGATATTGTTAAGGCAGCCGTAACGCATTTCCCATTTTCTATCATTACGGTAGACTGCAACTTTTATAAAAACATGAGAAGAAAATATAAAATTAGAAGGAAAAAAGTGAATTTGAACGTTATGAAGTTCGGACTTTATTTCCCTTTTAAAAAAAAATCCTCCAAAGCCTCAGGTTAGAAAAGGAAAAAAATTCGAGTGCAAAACTGAGATACATGTACGAACCCGCAACCTCGCGGTGCAAAATCCTACCCTCTATCGACTGAGTTGTCGCACTGCTCGCTAAAACGTGGGGAAACAAATAATTATATACCTGCGTGCGTATCAAAAAAGTGTCGTAGAGGGCGCTAAACAACGGCTGCTGTAACGATAGCCACTTCGTATTTTGATTGAACAAACATTCGATGGAAGAGTTTATACGATTGTAGTGAATGAAAAAATGTTCGAAACCACACGGTACGAGAGATATACCGAGGAGAAAATTTATCGTTGATTCGCAGCTCCCGTGATTTTACCCTTACCCTACTAGACCCTCCAACGCATGCCAATATGTGCCTCAAGAAAATCTCCTATGTTTTTTGCATGGCCCTCCAATATCTGCCATGTCATTTCAAGGGTACCTGGACAGGCACTCCAATACATGCCACAGAGAACAATGAGAGTCCTCTGATAACAATCAAGTGCCCCCAGCTGGTCAGTATCAGGCACCCTCCAGGGCCTCCAACTCCTGCCAATTGGAGCCTTCACTGCTACATCAAAGTATCCTCCATAAAACTGCAGCTGGAGGGCATTGGCATAACCAACTGACATGCAGTAAACTACCCTCAGAGAGTAAGGGTTAAACCGTCCAAACATGTCGAAGTGCGAGTCAGAAATCTGGCCAAAATTCCTTTTCTAAAGATTTTATCGAAAAGATCTGTGGGTATCAAGAAGCTTACATTTTTCTTTTCAATATGCACTCCGTCAGAATTTGTTTTATTGGAGACTAATCAAAAAGAGGTAAGGGCCGTTTGAAGCGATCCGGAACTAGGAAAAAACGACTGTAGTCCGAGTAACTAAGACTCTACGGATCGCTTTTTTAACATTTGGACATGGTCGGGCGATAGTAGAGTCCGAGATCGATGGCCCTATTGCGGTTACTACTAATTTTTTTTTTTACCATTTTCACTCGTACCCCCAATCAAAATCTTCAGATTTTACCCCCAAAACGGTCTTCAAACTACCTTATGCGTCCCTGTAGGCTTCAGTGGGAATTAGAAATACAAATGGTGGTGGTTAGGTTCACATACATGTACCTTAGAGAAGAAAAGAGAAATTCCACCTTCAATTCGGAAACCAAGCCTCGCCGAACTGTCGTGCCGGTAACTACCATCTTGAATGTTGTTGTTGTGTACGATTCATTCAAATTGTGAGGTCAAACTGATGACGTACGACGCGCCGGCCAAGCGCACGCCCGCATTCACAGTCGGGCACATCGTGTGTGCAAGCGTTCACCGGCGACTGTTTCCTGAATGGCGTAGCCTGCACATATCCTGAAAATTTAGCAGAAGTATGGTGTTGCATATTTGCCATCGGTGTCACATTTTTCAGGGATCATTTTGATCGATTTCATGCAAGACTTTCATGCAAGACTACATACAAACATGTACAAGTATTAACCCTAACAGAACTCAACCCATCAAACCCCAATGGTATGTTTTGTTGGAATCTGTCAGGATGGGTACAGTACCCCTAAACTGACAGTCTTTTGCATTGGGTTGGCACACCTCCAGAATCAAAGTCAGAAATATGTGTGTGCAGTTTCCCATATGGTGTTACAATTTGCCAGGATGGGTATGGTTCCTAGTAAATCATGCTAAGGAGTTAAGGTTGAGGGAAACAAAAATCCACTTAAAATTCCACTTGGAATTAGAAACTTCAAAGACAAGTATGGAATTGATTGTATGTACTCAATAAGCTCAATGATTATTTCATTGCGCATGTCAGTCTCTCATATGTTTTTCTTCAAACTGCTGTCTCCTTGATCAAATTTTATTACAAATGTATACTAGCTAGCCAGGTACATAAATGTTAGCATACATACTCCCTACCCCTATGCCAGTGAATACTGACACAGGTGTATTCTAGGGCTGGTACAAATTGGAATCACAATAGAAGCTTACAAAAAGGTGACAGCAGTGTTTGAATGGACCACCCTGTCAATTATGTTCAGGTTGTCAAGCTGTTGTATTGCAATGGATAACGGAGTCATTTGAGCATGAAATCACAGGGGGCTACGAGTAAACATTACGGGCTCAAAGTTTAGTAAAACATTTTTTAGAGAAGTCTTTCTTTAGAGGAGTTATTCTTATACATGTTGTTCTGTCATCATATACAAGTAGGAAAGGCAGAGACTACTCTAGGCAGATACCGGTACATGTACATGTACATTAATTTCTCTAAATCTCATACTTGTAATCAAGTTGGCAATTGGCTTGATTTTGTTCTTTACACTCATCTTTCACTGTACACGCTGTCTAGGCAGAGGTAAAAATCATGTTTAGGGTACACCTAGGTAGTTCAAATACAATGTAATTGAACTTTGACATCGTCGCTGACCTCATTTTTCATCATTGAACCAATAGGGTTGCTTGATCCGTAAGAACTTATCAATACATGTATGCAAATATATCACAGATATTATCAAACAAATTGTGCCTTTGAAAAGCAATGCCCTTAGTGTCTGCAGGCTGATTAGCAAATTGAAAACCTCATGAAAAACCTTCAGGAATAGTCCTATTTCAGTCAATAATTCCTGATGGCAAATTTCTACCTGATGCTGAAGAGCAACATCAGAAATCTACATTACACATCTGTTATTTGTTTATTAACCAATATATTTACGATGTACATGTATTTACTTTTTTGTCAACTACCACCAGAGCTAGAAATACACATATATTTTTTCAGCGGTAGAGATGTTTAATTGTCAAGCATACCATATGGTGTGTGTACACGTATGTTTACAAGTCGCGCAATGACTTATCCAGCAACCATTAGCGTCAGACGTTCATCATAGTGCAATTGATGAACCGAAGTGTTTTCTCAATTTGCTGGGTAAATTGAAATTCATTTTTGAACTAGAGATGCGCGTTTGTTGAGTTACAAACGCAGAGTGGTCGGGCGGACAGCCTTTTCATTATACATGTACACTGCCCAGAAAAGTTCGGAATATACGTTTATATAGAACAAAGGATCATGAAATTAAATCCCTTCCAGTACAATCAACTATTTGGTTACAAAAATGTATCTTTAACGGTGTAGTTAAACGCTTTGCTTTTGAGTTATATTATGATTTTATTGCACTTCCAGTAACACCGGAAGTGAAGGTCAAGCGGTTTTGTGTACAGGACAAGAAATGTTTCTCACGGCATAGTCTACAACCTCACGAAAAAATTAACACGATACTCTATGCAGTTCAAAAGATATAGCGCAAACTATTTTGTCAAAATTTGCCCTTAAATCGCTTGTAATTTGATACCTGATGACGTCATGATGAGGTCACAAAGTTATAGCTTTCGAAAGATGACGTCTTCACACTGTTTTATGTGTCTGACATTCCTCACTAATCACTTTCCTAATTTGTATGTGTGAAGTAAAATGCTTCCGCTTTTGAGTTATATTCGCTTTTTATTGCACTTCCGGTAACACCGGAAGTGAAGGTCATGCTGTTTTGTGTCCGGGGACAAGAAATGTTTCTTACGGCATAGTATACAACCTTACGAAAAAA